CTCCTAGGACCTGCCGTTGCTTTCCTTTGTGAGGCCAGCACAACCCTGATTGTAAAAACAGGCAGAGACAGAACAAGTAAGGAATGTGATGCACCTGTCATGTGGATATAGACGCAAAAACATCTAAGCAAAAAATAGCAAATCCAACCCAACAGGATATGAAGAACCAGAACACTCTGCCCCCACTGCCCCGTTCAACTTCATGTCCCCGGAAGCACAGCCTGAGTTGGAAGCTGGGGGGTGGGGGGAGCTGAGTGAAGCAGTGGGGGGGGGGGGGTCTGGAGCTGGTACTGCACCTGGAATCGGCCCCCCTGGAGCCCAGGGGCCCGTGTTTTGTGCCTCCACATCTGTCAGTCACTGGTTTCAGCCCACCCCTGGGAGGGGGCCTTAACCCCACGGGCATCTCCGAGTGGCAGCTACCGTCGCCCAGAGACAAATCTCCCGTGAGGCATCTGCAGCCACAGCTGGGAGGACACTGTAGCGCCCATCACATCCCGCCCCCTGCCCACACACACCCGAGCTCTGCTTCTCCCAGATTCTGGTTGGTTACAACTTCTGGGCCCAACACAAGGGGAGGGTTAGGAGGAGAAACCACAAACCCCGACAGGGCAGTGGCTTTCAAGGCCATAAGTCAGTGGTTCTCAACCGGGGGTGATTCTGTCCCAGGGCCATTGGGCCATATCTGGAGACACTTTTGATTCCTGCCCGAACACGTCAGCCAAGTACTGCAATCCTTTGACGTGTCATCCCTCTCCCCACTGAGCGGCCCAGCTTGTCCCCAGCTGGTGGTGACCCTGTCCATCACAGACAGTTTTCCTGAAAAGGAGGCAGCTCTGTGTAGCTGCCAACGTGGCAGCCCTGTGTCCTCATCCTTGAGAACACCAGCGAGAGAGGAAGAAGCACGGAGCGAGTGCTACTGGTGAGCGGTGGGTCCAGTTCATTCAATCAGTCACTGCAAAGGCCCTGAGGCAGGACCGTGCCTGTTGGGTTAGAAGAAAAGCAGGCAGGCTGGTGTGGCTGGAACCACATGGGCCAGGGCGAGAGACGAGGTGGGTCTGGGGGGTGGACCACGCAGGTGCCTGCCTGGAAGGTGTGGTGAGGACTTTGGCTTTTACTTGAGAATGTTGGATTTGTTGGGAGGAAAGGATCGAGGGTAATTATTAATGAGCCCCCACCCTGCTGAGAAGTCCACTTGGGCTCTGGGGACAGTGATCCCTTAATCTGCTTATTGCTGGCCCAGGTGTTTGAAGCAGGTGGTGTGGCCTGGGTCCAGGGCAGGAGACGGGGCCTTGCCCCACCCCCTGTGCCCCTTGAAGATTGTCCTTGGGCCCCGCCCCCCCAGGTCAGGTCACCTGGGAGCACAGGTGAGCGGACACACACCTGTCTCCCCTGGTGGAAGCAGTGACGTTGACTTAGCCCCTCAGATTTGTTTTGGTTTTAATTTAAATGTACAGAAAAGTGTAACCCGCGACTTGGGGGCAAGTCTCACAACAGGGCCGGCCCCTCCCAGTCACTTCCCCCTCAAGGTAACCCCCATCCTGCCTCCATTGCCTCTGGCCTTGAAGGTCACTTGTGTTATGTCCACGGGGTCTTCTGTCCCATCCTGTCTGACTCAGACTCACCACGCTGCTGCGGGAATGACTGGTGCATCATTCTTTCTCGTTGGCAGAGAGCATGTCATTCTGTGAGGGCCAGAGAATGATTCAGTCCACTGCTGATGGGTGTTAGAGTTGTTTCCAGTGGGGGGCTATTGGGACTAAAGCTGCTAGGAACATTCTAGAAGCAGCCTTTGGTGAGCGGAGCTCTCATTTGTCTTGGGCGTATACCTGTCAGAGACTGCAGGGTGTAGGGTGAGCCTCTGAGTCTCCTGGGGCTGCTGTAACCAGTCACCACCAACTGGGTAGCTTGGGACAACAGGAATTTTTCCTTTCACCATCCAGAGGCCGGAAGTTCAAGATCAAGGTGTCACAGGGCTGTGCTCCCTCTGGAGGCTCCAGGAGATGGTCCTTCCTGCCTCTTCCAGCTTCTGGGAGCCCCAGGCATCCCTGGGCTTGTGGCTGCGTCCCTCGGATCTCTGCCTCTTCCAGCTTCTGGGAGCCCCAGGCATCCCTGGGCTTGTGGCTGCATCCCTCCGATCTCTGCCTCTGTCTTCACACGGGTGTCGTCTGTCTCTCCTCTGTGTGTCTCTTACAAGTCACTTGTCACTGGATTTAGCGTCCATCTGGATACTCCAGAATGATCTTCTTGAGACTCTTAATTACATCCTCAGGGGCTTCCCTGGTGGCGCAGTGGTTGAGGGTCCACCTGCCGATGCAGGGGACACGGGTTCGTGCCCCGGTCCGGGAAGATCCCACATGCCGCGGAGCGGCTGGGCCCGTGAGCCATGGCCGCTGAGCCCGCGCGTCCGGAGCCTGTGCTCCGCAACGGGAGAGGCCACAGGAGTGAGAGGCCCGCGTACCACAAAAACAAAAAACAAACAAACAAACAAAAATTACATCCTCAAAAGTCCGTTTTCCAAATAAAGTTCTGTTCACAGGTTCCAGGGGTTAGGGCGTGGACATGATTATTCAAACTTGTACACGAGTATGCGTTCAGCTGTAGCAGAAATAGCCAAACTGTTTTCCCAGGTGGTCAAGCCACTGTAACCCTCAACTAACCCTCAGGGTGTGAGACAGTCCAGGGGTTTTCAGCAGCCCTTCAGCCGGACTCATGTCCTCCTGTGGGTGAGCCAACTGGTACAGGGCCGGTGAGAGAGAAGCGCAGACAACAGAGGGGTGCTGTCTGCAGAGGATTCAAAACAGTAAGAAAAGCATCGCACCCCCCAGAGCTGGTACTCCACAAGTTTGTTGAATACAATATTTTGTGGGGTTGATGAAAGAACTGTCGTGATTACTATTGTTTTATTAACATAGACACAAGTTTCAAGCTTGCCCGTTTTCATTCTTTATCCTTTAATAAACATCGCTTCCTGCGGGAAGTCCATTTGGAGAATTCCCAGTTCTGGACCCTTGAGGACTCAGCTGTGAGCGCTTCCCCTGAGAAGCGGTTCCGTCTGTAACCACCTGCGGTGTCTTCGGGCAGCAATCCAATCTCTAAACCAAATGGGCCCTGCGTGTTCCTACAGGGACACAGTAAATAATAAAACCCCAGAGCCAGGGATTGTAAAGACACAGAGATACAGATCTCGAGTCTCTCCGTTTCCGTTGTTGCACCTGGAGTTTTTATTCGTCTTTAAAAGTAAAGCATCAAAGCAGCGTGGAATTTTTGCTGGGCAAGTAAGTGCAAATGCTAGTCCCACCTTCAACTGGGTTGCTGATTTTGAGTATCTTTAAAATTGCAATGTTTTCTTCTCTCTTTAAATGCTTCCATTGATTGTTTGTTACATGACCATTACCGGAAACAATGTTGCTGCTCGGAGAACGGCATGTGGGAAATCATGGCTCCTGTGGCCTCAGGCCATCCTGTCTGCTAGAGTGGGCCCTGCATTGGCCTCTGCCCCGGCAGGAACCTCACCCCTGCAAAGCGGTTCCGTTAGTTGGGGAGTAGATGGCAGGGTTGCCCCACAGAGCTCCGGGGAAGAAGAGGCCGGAGGCTCCCATTTCCAGACACTGAACACACTCCCACACTGCAGTGAGGCAGAGGGGACCATCTGGGGCCATCGGGGACCTGAAGCCCTTGGGGGCTGCAGGTAACACCTGAAACGCTGAATTCCTTCTCTCCCCCCCCCCGTCCTGCCACCAGGGGGCGCCCAGACCCCACGCCTCCCTCCAGAACTGTGCCCCACTCTGCCCCAAGGGAGGGGGCGTTCGGGAGATCCTCCGGCTTCAGCACTTGTTACAGAAGACAGGGCCAGGCCGGGGCCGCCCCAGGCGCTGCTGGGTCCCAGGCATACAGTAGGTGCTCAATAAATACTCTTTGGAGGAATGCACGAATGAACAGAAGGGCTAGGGAAGGAGTCTGGAAGAGTGAGGTTCCCAAGATCAGGGCCGGGAGGGGCTGAAAGGGTATACACAGATGGGGAAACTGAGGCCCAGAGAGGGGCAGGGCTTGGCCTGAGGTCACCCCCAAAGTCAAGGGCCGAGTCCATTGAGATCCACATGTCCAGCACCCCTTGCACACTCCCACCATCCCGCGCCCCAGAGGAAGACACAACCACAGATGGTACAGACGAGCAGGTTGTCCCAGATCACGGTGTGAGTCACCCCACGCAGGATGGGGAGGCAGAAGGGGAGGTTTGCTGGGTGACTATGTGACACCCCACTGACACTTCCAATCCACACATGATCTAGGCCTGCCCTCCTGGCTCTAGAATCTATGAGGAGACTACATCCAAGACACATGAGGGCAGGGCACACGCTGAGGGTGGGGGCTCTGACCTGCCTGCTCTGCTCGGCCTGAGAGGAATATGTGGCCCCAAGGGGCATCGGGAGGGGGCTTGGAACCTCAGAAAGTCCCGCCTTCCCCCATCCTCTTATATTCCCCGTCCTCACGGTTGCCCCAGGGTCAGACACACTGCGGGGAGGTGGGGGCTGGACCAGGAGGAGGGGATGAGGTGCACGTGATTGCGTGCGTACAGGTGGTGACAACGTGGCTGTGGATCTGAGTAACAGGGCATCCTGAAGTGTCTGCAGCCAAGTATGTGAAACTGGGGTGCCCTTGTTAAAAAAAAACTGCTTGTAAAAATTAAATAGGAATAGGGCTTCCCTTGTGGCGCAGTGGTTGAGAGTCCGCCTGCCGATGCAGGGGACACGGGTTCGTGCCCCGGTCCGGGAAGATCTCACATGGCACAGAGCGGCTGGGCCCGTGAGCCATGGCCGCTGAGCCTCTGCGTCCAGAGCCTGTGCTCCGCAATGGGAGAGGCCACAACAGTGAGAGGCCCGCGTACCTCAAAAAAAAAAAAAAAAATTAAATAGGAATAAAAAAGGGGTGAACAGCAGTGTTGCCTGGAGGGAACCCTCCCGCCTCCCCCCAAACTGCGGAAGCTGTCAAGATTATCTCTGAACTTTCTGGTAGCCAGGGCAAAAGGGGAAATTGGTACGTTACAGTGCCTGGGTAGGCATGTTTACTAGGGGGTCATGCCTGTTTTTAACAGTGTCTCTGAATACGTGAGGGTGCGTGTGTTAAGTGGCAATGAGAAGGGAGAGACAGAGTGTCGGGGGTTAAACAGTGGTGAGCTTCCTGATAGCCAGGGCAAGAGGGGAAAGGGATACATTACAAGGTCTCCTTAGGCATGTCTTCATCGGGGTCATGCTTGTGTGTGACAGTGTCTCCCAGCAAATGAGTGTGAGGCAAGGGGAATAAAAGCAGACACAGAGTCTCTGAGAGTAAAATAACTATGAGTTTCCAGGGTGAGAGAGGAAATCAGAGCTAAAGAGTCCATTTAGTGTATCCTCACCAGTGCGTGCCTGCTTCCGACAATGGATCTGACTGAGTGCAGGGGTGTCTGAGTGTGTGTGGTGGGGAGTCACAGAGCTGCAGGTGGGAGATAGTTCTGAGCTCCCTGGAAGCTATGGCAATAGGGGAAATATGCTGACTTTGAGCCTGGTCAGCCGTGTGTGGCCGAGGTCTGGTCCAGGGGCTCAGAGGGGGCAGCGTCTGGCGGCCAGGCGCACGCGGCTGTCCTCGGCGGGGCTCCAGGGCCGGGCGTAGCCAGCATGGGGGAGCAGCAGCCAGTCCTGAGTGCCATCGGGGCTGATGAGGCGCCGGGCCGCCAGCAGGTAGTCCCGATGGAGGGCCAGCGGTGGGCAGGGGCAGCGGCTCGGCGCCCACACATACTCGAGGGCCCGCAGTGGCGAGCGGTTCTTGTAGATGAGCTGCACGCGCACCTCATATCGGGTCTCCTGGGCCTGCCGGACGCGGCCCAGCACGCGGGCCCGGAACACTGCGGGCAGGGTGGTGCTGAGCCCGGCTGGACGCTCCGCCCCGGGGCCCATCCACACACCCTTTTCCAGACGAGGGAACTGGCGGTCAGGTGGGGCATTGGGGGCCCTTGGGGACTGTGGTCAGCTGAGGCCTGGGGTAAGGGTCAGCTCAAGGATCAGTGAGGGGTTAGGAGTCAGATTAGGGCAAAGGATTAGATCAGGGAGTCAAATGAGCGTCAGGAGGGGTCAAGCTGGAGTCAGGTCAAGGAGTGAAAGGCAAAGTCTGACCAGGGTCAGAGGTCAGCTGGATAGGGGTCAAATTCAGGTCAGTTAGGGGTCAGGTGAGGGATGGGGTCAAGGGCCTCTCACCAAAGTCGCTGCCGCAATAGTGGAGCAGCCGGTGGGCACGACCGCGGGTGTCAGGGCAGGGTGGGCAGGGGTCTGCGGGGGCAGTGCAGTCAGGGGCACAGGCCTTGCTTCCCTGCTCGCCCCCGCCCGGGCTGTCCCCAGCTCACCTGGGGTGGGGCCTGGGGTCCGTGGGGGGATAACAGTGGGGGCAGCGGGAGACTCAGGGGACTGAGGATCTACCTCCCGAGGCTGCGGCTGCCGCAGGGACCAGCCCTGGGCCTGAGCCTGCGCCTGGAAGGGGCCATAGCGCTCCCGGGGGAGCCAGAACTCGAACTCAACGCCGGGGTTGGGCTCCTGCAGGAGGACCTGGGCGGCGGGAGTGGGGGGGTGTCACATACTAGGGAGCTGCCCTCGGACCTGATGGCCCAGCGTCCCCCAACACACACTCTACCCAGCCCCCCGCCCCCGCCCCGCCCCGCCCCCTGCTTCCCAACGGATTCTTTAACCCCACACTCCCAGACGCCCTCTCAGAGGCCCGCCCCCACCTGCAGGAGCAGGTCTTCGGAGGTGGGCCCGGCGGCGCGCAGCGTCTCCTCTGACCCTGTGACGCGGGTGTAGACCACGTGGGTGCCCGCTGCCTCGTAGGTCCCGGGAGGGCTGACCGCCCAGTTCCCGTTGAACACGTAGCGCCCGTCGCCCCCCATCAGCGCTGCAAGGGAAGGGTCAGCCCGGGCTCCCCGGAAGCGGCCCCGCCCGCCTCCCGACCCTGTCGCCCCCCTCCCCGCTGGATTCGGGCAGCCAGCAGGGCGCCTCCTCCCTCGGACCCTGCGATACCCAGGTGGTTCCGGCTGCGGTGGGCGGCGCGGATGTGCCTGGCGCCCTCAGGGATCAGGGTCACGTTCCAGTACCCAGCGAAGGCACCTGGGCGGGAGGGAAGGACGGCGTTGGGGAGCAGGTGGGGTGTATTTGAAGGATGATTTGAGGATTAAGTGGGATACTGCGGTAAGAAGGTTAGCCAAGGCCCTGGTACTTCGAAAACGCTTCCTAAAGGATTGGAGTTACGATGATTATCACTTAAGTGCGGCAGCAAAGGAGTTAAACCCCGTCTGCTCTGGGAAGGGCGGGACAATCTGGCAATGACCAATCAGAACGATGAGCGAGGGGGAGACTGAGCAATGACCAATCAGAACGTTGAGCGAGGGGGGCTGGGCCGCAGACTGCCCAATCAGTGCGGGACGTCTTAAAGGGCCCGCTCTGGGAGAGCGCGAGGACGGGGAGGGCGGTCACCGGCATCCCGGAACACGCGCTGCACGAAGAGGCACGAGTCGTTGGCGCCGCCGCAGCGGCCGCAGCGGTCTTCGCGGGCATCCGAACCCAGCAAACCGTCACAGCCGGCTCTCTAAAGGGATGGGGAGGGCACGCGCGCCGTCAGACGGGCCCTGCCGTCGAGGGGGCGGGGCCCACGGAAGAAGACAGGACCAAGAACTAAAAGGATGGAACCTGGGGGGCAGGCCCTAGTGGGAGGAGGCTGGGGATGAGGCCTAGTGATAGGTGGGGCAGGGGAGGTCGGAGACTCGGTAGGGGGCGGGGCCTAGGGAAGAGGGCGGGACCAGGAACTTAGTGAACGGTGTCTGGGTGCGGGGCCTGGAGGGAATAGGCCGGGTGGAACCTACAAGGGGCAGGGATGGGGGCGGGGCCTGGAGTTCTTACGAGGCAGCGGCCAGCCACGCAGAGTCCCTGGGTGCCCGGGCTGCAGGGGGTACCGTCCAGCACGCGGCCGAAGCTGTGATAGAAGTCGTGCCCCTCCGCCAGGCAGTTGAGGTCGCACTGGTTGGGTGCTGGGGATGGGAGGAGTCGGTGGCAGTGGGGGACATATCTGAGTTCCAGCCCCCTTCCTGCCAGTCTCCCCTCAGGCAGCCATCCTCTTGGGCAGATGAGGCCCAGAGACTCAGCCAAAGCCACACATGGAGGCTGAGGCAGAGCCAGGACTGGAACTTAGGCATTCTGCTTCCCGTTCGCTGGGACTGTCCCAGGCAAGTATCCTGGGCCTGCACTCATTCGTTCATTCATTCATTCATGTTCAGTCCTAATATTAGGGGCCCACTATTAACATCATCACCCATTCTTCACTCATTCTTCCATACGTTCATGCCACAAACACTCATCGAGCACCTACTATTTTCCAGACAATGTTCTAGGCTCTGGGGCACAGAGGTGGGCAGAACACACTCGGCACTTGGGCTCTGCACCCAGAAGGTGCCCCCAAAAAGGTTTTGGCCAGTTCTGACTGAGTCCTGCATAGCCTGGGTATGTTGCTGGCCCTCCCCGGGACTCAGTTTTCCCCTCTGCCTGGCAGTGGGGCATAATGGACAGTCTGACCACACCCGAGGCCCACAGACCTGATCCCTGCTCCCCCTGCTCAGTCTCCCTCTGGCTCCCGACACCCCGAGGCTGGCTGGCAGACCCAGCCTGGAATAGAGCCTGAGCTGGCCCTGGCGGGCCTTTGTGGGGGTGAAATCATGGCAAGTTTCCGCCAATTCTTAGGGTGAAGGAAATAAAAATCTGTGAGGTTGACGGGTGGAACTTTCTCCATTCTAGGATTTTCTTATCTGTGTCTACCCCCACCGTGGCGTCTGAAGCTGCCTATTTCCCTTAAATCTGGAGGCGCACTGCCCCAGGCACACAATTATATAACTCGCTATTTTCAGCTCAGTGCGACAATATTTCCTGCTACTGGTGTAAGTTTGAGAAATGTTGGCCTCTGGACACAGCTCCCAGTAAATCCTCAGCTTCGTGTTCGACCCTGTGCAGAATAGACCCTGCCTCCTTCTGCCCCTCTTCACAACTCACACTTGCTTTCCACCCTTCACTTCACTAACTCCTACATATCCCTGAAAGCCCCAGTGCCAATGCCCCCTTCTTGCACCCCTCCAAGTCCCCCTTCCTTCTTAGCAGCCACTTTTCCCTGCCAGCTCTGAGGGAGCTGGACTAACAGGAGCATAGGCTACTCACCACCATAGAAGGGCACCCATTGGTAGGTCTTCTGGGTGCCCAGGACAGGGTGGCCATTGTAGAGGGCGCATTGGAGGTCTCGGAAGGGCACGGCCCCTGGGGGACATTCCTGGGGACACAGATCGGTGGAGCAGAGGCTGGGACAGCCCCGGGGATGCCCAGAGAATCTGGCATGGTGGCAAGGATATTTGGGGGCATGAGTAGGGAAGCAGGAGGGCTCCAGGGAGAACTCAGTCTGGGGGGTGGTTGGCTAGAACTTACGGGCAGCTGGCAGAGGCGGTACTCGTGGGTGTCCCCCCAGCACAGCTCTTCCCTGGGAAACCTTCGAGGAGCAGGGTGGCCAGACTGCGGTCAGCACCTCCAGAAACCGTTCCACAGAGCCAGCCTGCCCACCCATCCACCCCCGCTAACCCCACCCACATTCCAGCTGGATTAGTGGGATTAAAAGGCACAGCTTGTGTGGGCAGGTCGAGGGTGCGGCCAGGGGCTGGGCCAGCCTGACAGGAGAGGAGGGGCAGGGACCCCCTCCCATCCCACCCAGCCGGGTCCCAGGAGCCTCCTCACCGGATGCATTGCCGGCTGCGCACGGAGAGCCCGCGCCCGCAAGAGCTAGAACAGCGGCTCCAGGAACCCCATGGAGTCCACTCACCCGGACCCTACTTGGGGAGACAGAGGCAGAGTCAGCTTGGAAGGGAGGCTGGTGACCCCCACACTGCCAGCTGGGTTCCCATGCCCACTGCCCCCTGGGCTCATGTCCCCCTTTACCTGAGCGTTGCCCCCCAAACCACAGTTCAGGAGGGTCCACAGCAGGAGCAGGAGATTCTGGAGTGGGCGGGGTCTGGGGGACAGGAGGGGGCGCAGCAGTGGGGGGGCCAGCAGGCCAAGGGTTGCACCCCAGCTCTTCCCTGACTGGCTGTGTGATTTTGGACAGTATCTCAACCTCTCTGAGCCTCCCTTCTCATCTCTGAAAAATGAAGTCATAATAGAGCCCACCTAATAGGAGAGTTTTGAGGGGTTCGTCAAATTAGGTGAGGAAAACGGGGGCCACAGTGCCCGGTCTGGAGAGAGAAAACTCAAGTAATTATTACTGGTTGTTTACTGTCTATGATGCACGTAGTAGGTGCTTATTCAGCGTCTGATGATGGAAGGAATCATTCCAGGAGCGTGCACAGGTGTCTCCAGGGTCCTAGGGCCCTCCCCAATCTCCCCACCATCTTTGCTCCTACCTTCCGGTGTGGCCAGGGGCCAGGTGCTCCTCTTCCCCCTGCCTCAGTTTCCCCATCTGTGCAGTGGGGACCAGCTGGGCACAGTCCAGGATTCTATGGGACCTTGCAGAGGGTGTAGCTGGTGGTGGCTGGGTCTGGTGCCTGGCAGAGCTCCCCCCACCCCACGCCCGGGCGGGCCCCAGCCTCCAGGGCCCCCTCAGCTCCCAGACCTGCAGCAGCCAGGAGCTCCCGGATGGGGGGCGGGACGGGGCAGGGTGACCTGGCCCCGGTCCAGTGGGTGCCTCATGGCCTCATGTGAAGAGGGTGTGGGATGGAGCCCCAGAGCCGCCTGCAGAGGGAAAGGGGCTGCCAATGAGGATGACCCAGGGAAGAGGGAGGCGGCTGTGTGGGGGCGGGGGAGAGGGTGGCTGGGAGGCTTTGCCTCCCTGGGCCTCAGTTTCCCCATCTGTCAGGGGAAGAATGAAGTCACTTGCCATCCCCACCCTCCCCATGACCATGGCATTGGTGGAGAAAGTGGCGGGCTAGGGCCAGGGAGCCCAGCAGTCAGCAGTGCCCAAAGGACACGCAGGCCATGCTGGAGGGCTCCAGTCCTGGATGTCCCGGGCAGCGGATGGGGGAAGGCAGGGCCCCACTGGATGTTCTCGAGCAGCAGTGTCCCTGGTTATCAGGCTCTCCTGGCTCTGACATTCAAACCTGGGGCACCGAGGGTCTAGGGCCAAGGTGGCTCCAGATGCTGAGAACCTGGGGGACCACGGGGTGGGTCCCCCGTGGGTCCCCCCCTCTCTGACCAGAGCTGTGAGGCTGGCTGCATCTCTGAACCCCAGCACTGGCTGGCCCAGGAAGCCGGAAGAAGTCCGGGTTGGAGAGCAGTAGGGGGAGGGGGCTTGACCCTCGGACACCCGCTCCCCTCTTAGCACTGGCTTGTGGGGTGGGGGTCTAGGTGATGCAAAATGAGGGGCTTGAGGGATCACCATTCCCACTCTCCAGAGCCCCCTGCCCGAGGAGCAGGACACACCCCCCGTTTTGGCTGCAGTCCTGACTCTTGGTGTGATCTCAGGGCAAGCCACGCCTCTGGACCTCAGTTTCCCAAGGAGGAAGTGGGGATGAGTTTTCTCCCACCCTGGGGATTGCTGCCTCGCCACCCCCCAGCTTAGGGACGGGGAGAAGACTCCGGCCGGGATAGTGGGGGGATAGGAAGAGGGACTTACCGGCTACGTAGAGCCCAGGCGGCGCGTCCAGGTTCCCGGGGCTGCCCGTGGGCGAGCGGAAGCCGCGGGGCCCGCGAGAAGGGGCGGGGGGAACCCGGGACGGCCCCTCCCACCCGGCCTCCCAGGGCGCGCCCCGGCCGGGGTCCAGAGGGGCGGCGGCGCCGTGCGCCCCCGCGCGGCCGTTGCGCGCCTGGGCGCCGATCTGCGGCAGGGGACTGCTCCGCACGCGCCGCGGCCCCCCAGAACTGCGGCCTGGTGTCCGACCGTCCGCGCCCCGGTGACCTTGGGAAGCCCAGGGCGGGGGAGCCACGCGGGGACTGACCGCCCTTACCCCCACCTCGGGGCTGCTATTCCGGGCGCCGCGCTCAGGGCCCGGGAATGTGAGCGAACCGAGGTCGCCCTGTTGAGACTCCAGGAGGGCGCTGCCCTCTCCCCACCGACGCCCAGATCGCGTCCCCACGAAGGTTCCCTTTCCTGGCCATTACCCCTCCCCAAATCCCTCTCCCTACCCCTCCCTCAAAGTCACCCTACTCAGGAACCGGCGCGCCTGGGTTCCCGCCCCAGGTCCCGACCACCCCCAGCGCAGGGCCCCAGAGCACTGGGGGGAAGCTCAGTCCCAGGGGCCTGGCGTGGGGGGCGGAGAGCCCCTTCCCAGCCCGGCGCATTCCCGGGCGCTGCTGTCACCAGAGGACGCGCCCCACCCCGCCTCCCGCCCTCCCTGCCCGGCCCCAGGCTGCAAGCCGTGGCTTCGCAGCTAGACCCGGGTTCAGAAGGTCCGCCTCCCACGCGACTGTGGCCCCACCCTCCCCGACCTCAAGTTCCCCATCCGGGCAATGGGGCCGGCGGGGGTCTCCACAGCGACAATTCCAGGTGGATCTCAGCTCTTTGCGCGGACAGGGTTACCCCAGGGTTCCCCACCACCAGACCTTTCCCCGGTTTAGCATCTGCGCGCCCCCCCCACCCCTCATCCCCCGCCCAAGCAGGGACGCAGCAGGCACCCTCCGCTCGCCCCCTCCCCTGGCTCCTCGCTGCGGCCCCAGGATGCTGCCTGGCAAGCGGGTTGAGGAGATGGGGGCACCAAGGGGGGCGTTGGGTGGACAGCTCTTCTGCTCCCTGGGCTCGGCCCAGGCTCAGCTTGAGTGCCCCCTTCTCCCGGGAGCCCGCAGTGAGGTGTTCCAGCCCCGACCACAGTTAGGGGGTACCGCCGGTCCAGCTCTGTCTGTCCTCCAGCCTGGAGCAGCTCAAGGCAGGGCCATCCAACGCCGTTCATTCATCCAACACTTACTGAGCATTTACTTTGTGCCGCTACAGCTGTGAATCCGGCTAGTGAGGGGAGACAGTGCCCTACGAGGGCACCATGCTACCTTCCCATCAGGACGTTCTGCAGAGATAGCCCAAGCCCACGGCAGATGGGGTGGGGGGCCAGGAAGGCCCTCACGCAGGAGGTCACTGCCGCAGGGAGGTGGGGGAAGGGCAGCCCAGTCTGCCTGGAACAGCACATGCAAAGGCCCTGAGGCTGGAAAAGGGAATAAGGGGCAGTGGGAAGGTTGGGGTGGGTGGAGCCAGTAGCCAGCCTGGGGGTGGGATGTGGTCAGAGAGGGGCCAGGGGGATAGCAACCCTGGGAGGTGGGAGGGGGGTGCTCTGGTTTGGGAACAGCTGCCTCTGGCCGTCATGGGGGCAGGACAGGGGACCTGGAAAGCAGTGGGGAGGCAGTGGCAAGCATGCTGGGGTCAGGGGCTGGGCTGGGGGCGTGGGGGGGGGGGAGGGCACTGGGCAGCTCCCAGCTGTTTGGAGTGGAGTCTGCAGGCCTTGGGACAGATCCCACGGGGGAGGCACTGGGAGGAGGCAGGTGGGAGCTTGGGCTGAGCAGCCAGTGACGGGAGGCGCCCCATTCCCTGCGGGGGAGGGAGAGGCACAAGTCCGGAGGTCACCTGAATGGGTCTAGGGTGAGGCAAGGACAGCTGGGAGTCCAGGGGCTGCGTCTGGCTGGGGATGGACATGTGGGCATCCTTTGCCCACAGGGGTGCTTAGAGTCATCGATGAGGTCATGGGGTGAGAGTGTGGACAGAACGGAGACTGGGGCCTGAGTGTCAGAGGCTGAGGTGGGCATGGGGTCCCCCAAGGTCGCAAGAGGATGGGCTTCCGAGAGGAGGAGGGGCAGCCTGAGTGGGTAAGATGAGGATAGAGCATGGACCAGTGGCCAGCGGATCAGCATCAATGAAGGCAGTGACCTTGACAAGGTTCAGCCTGGGGGAACAAGGCTCGAGAGAGGATAGCAGGAGAGAGAGGGGGATGGTGAGGGCAGGCACCCTCTGCAGAGCAGCTACTGTGTGCTGACTGTGGGACTGTGGGACTGGGCGGCATCAGAGAGAAATCAGGCTTGGCCAGGAGTGCCACCAAGTGGACAATCTCATCCCCCGCACCCCCACCCCCATGTGCCTTATGCCCCAAGCCCCAGTCTACCGTGCTATGCGGGGTATGCATACAGCAGGCAGTGTGCCCTGCAGGACGATATACAGAAGGCACGGTACCCTGCAAGGAGTGTATATACCAGGCACTGTGATCTGCAAAGAATGCATACAGCAGGCGCTGTGTCCTGCATGGAGCATATACAGCAGGCATTATGCATTGCAGGCAACGTATGCAGCAGCCACTGCATCCTAGACATGCATACAGTAGACACTTGGCCCTGCAGGGAGTGTATACAGTAGGTACTGCACCCTGCAAGGAATGCATTTAGTAGACACTGACCCTCCCAAGGAGTGTATACAACAGTCAATGTAGCCTATAGAAAGTGTATACAGAAGTCACTGCACCCTGCAGGGAGGGTATACAGAAGGCACTATGTCCCACAAGGAGTGCATACAGCAGGCACCATGCTCTACAGAGAATGTCTACAGCAGGCATTGTACTCTGTAGTGAGTGTATACAGCAGGCACTGAGTCCTATAGAAAGTGCATATGGCAGTCCCTGTGCCCTGCAGGGACAATACACAGGAGGCACTGGGTCCTGCAGGGAATGCATACAGTAGGCACTAGGTGTGCCCCGCAAGGGGGCCCTAATGCTCATGGGATGGCCAGTTGGGGCTGGGGTGAAGGTGTGGAGTCCTGTACCCACCCATGCCCCCTCTCCCCAGTCTTTGTCGCCCTGCAGATCTCCAGCCTCCCATCCCCATGCAGGAGCTAACTCAACTGGATTCAGCAGATCCCCAGAGGAGGAGGAGAGCTCAGCTCGAAATACCTGCTGCAGGTGGAGGGGTGGTTGTGAGGTTTGGAGGCTCCAGGTGCGGCAGCATCTCACCCCCCCCCCCAACTCATGCCCTGGTCTGAACTCAGGCCCAGGGGTCGGCAGGGTCCCCCTACGCTGAGCTCCGGCCTGGACCGCATCCCTGACGCTGGGCCTGGACAGGATCAGGCCAAGTGGGCACGAGTCCTGATGGATGTGGGTCAGCCTAGGCTCCCTCTGTGGTCTCACAGCCTTGAGCCTCCCCCTGCCCCCCTCCCCAACTCCCTATGGCCTCCCACGATCCCTCAGGCCTGGGCACGTGGTCCACAGGATACTCCAGTCTCCTGTGTAGATGGGGTGGGAGGGGTCCTGCAACCCCAGAACCCGGGTCTCTGGAGCTGCCCAGCTGTCCCTGGGCCTGAGCATGAATAGAGCAGGATCGGGGACCCACCATGGCCAGGGTCGCCCATGTGAGCTGGGATGGTAGTTTTCTCCACCCCAGGGAGAAGCCAACAGAAGCAGGAAGCAGAGAGGGCGAGATTTCTGAGACGGTTGTTTCAGTCCCTGGATCAAGCTGCACCTGAAGCCATCCATCCATTATTTTTCACTTTAGCAATTTGGAGTTTCTGTGACTTGTTATCAGGAGGTCCTCTCAAATAGGGAACAGCATCTTTTTCATCACCCTCACCCCCCTGGACAGGTCCTGTTTCTTAGGCCACTGATCCTGTGATGCAGTATTTCACCTCTACATATCACCACCACCTTGGCGGCCTCCATATCTGATGTGACACCCCCAGCTGCCCCCGTGAGAGGAATCCTCACCCCCACCTCATGGGTCGGGATGCTGGGGGGGCAGAGGGGCAGAGTTACACGCAGTGAGACTTGGAGGGCCTGGGATTGCTTCACAGTCACATCCGAATGGGTGTCCTGAGCTCCTTTTGAGGCAGGGGGCTGGGGGGACTTGCCTGAGTGGGGAGATGCTTGAGGCAGGACCTGGAGAATGAAGGAGAACTGGACGGAAGAGGGTGTGAGGGAGAGGGTGTTCCTGGCAGATGGAACAGTACGTGCAAAGGACAGGGGGCCAAAGGAGCAGGGTGAGGACCAGCCCAGCGAGGAGGCCTGTGTAGCTGGAGAGCAGTGAACATGAGGCCAGAGGCGGCAGGGGCCTCGCATATTGTGGGGACCGGGAGCATGGGAAGGTTATTCAGAAACGGCAAGAAGTGTTAGGTGAGAAGGAAAAGTTATGCATGATCTGATGCCGTTTATATAAAAGGAAAATTACCTATGTTAGCATAAACTCAGACAGGAAGTGGACAGGAATAAACCGTCACGGTTGAGCATGATGATCTAGGGGGGGGGGGGGGGGGAGTGGGTTGGGGTGAGTTTGAGTTACTGCCTTTTAGGTTTTAATTTATTGTAGTCTTTTAATTCTCTTTTTTAAAGAGAATTTTTATTTTGGAATAATTTTAGATTTACAGAAAGTTGCAAAGATATTACAGCAAGTTTCTCTCTATCCTTTGTCATCAGTAGTATAATGTCACCCCCCGCACACACACACACAGGATGTCCATGTCCTGGTCCTGGGACCTGTGACGTGTCACTTCACGGGGCAGAGGGGACTTTGCAGGTGGAATTAAGGCCCCTGGGATGGGGAGGTCCCTGGATTCCCCGGGGGCCCCAGCATCGTCACAGGGTACTTATAAGAGGGAGGTGGGAGGGTCAGAGGCAGAGAGAGACGGGAGATGCTGCACTGCTGGCTGTAAAGATG